GCCCTAGGTGCTAGTGAGTCTGCTCCCCTTGGTACTGAGTCGGCTCAGGCCTTGCACACGTTTACACTTGACTCTGGTGCTTCCCGCTGTTTCTTTCGTGATAGCACCACCGTCACTCCGCTCCCTGCACCTGTCCCTGTCTCCCTGGCTGACCCCTCTGGGGGCCCAGTGCTTGCACGCGGCACGACTGTGCTCCCGTGCCCGGCGGTCCCGTCTGGTGAGCTGTCAGGTCTCCTCGTTCCCTCGTTCTCTACGAACCTGGTGAGCAACGCCGTCCTCCAGGATCACTGGGTTGACACCTGGACTCCTGGAGGGCAGCGTGTGGCGATCTGTACGTGCTCCAAGACTGGCCGCCACCTGGCCACGTTCACTCGTGAGCCGGGGTCCAGTCTGTACACCCTCACCACTGTTTCACGCTCCGCTCCTTTGTCTCCACAGCTGTACGCGTCTGCTCAGGTAGCTACCCAGTGTGAGTGCCGCCGCCTGTCGCACGACACGCTCCTGTGGCACCACCGCCTTGGTCACCCCTCCCTGCCTCGCCTTCGTAGCATGCACTCTCGCTCTCTGGTCTCTGGGCTTCCCAGGTCTCTGCCTGCCCTCCCTCCCTCGCCTGCGCCGCCCTGCATTCCCTGCGTCGAGGGGCGGCAGCGCGCCGCTCCTCACTCCTCCTCGTTTCCTCCCACAGAGGCTCCCCTGCAGACGCTTCACCTGGACGTGTGGGGCCCAGCCCGCGTCCAGGGACAGGGCCGTGAGCGGTACTTTCTGCTGGTTGTCGACGACTTCACGCGTTACACCACGGTCTTCCCCTTGCGCAGCAAGGGAGACGTCCCTGCTGTTTTGATCCCCTGGATCCGCGCTGTGCGTCTCCAGCTCCGCGAGCGGTTCGAGCGGGACTTTCCTGTCCTGCGTCTGCACTCTGACAGAGGTGGTGAGTTCTCCTCTGACCTCTTGGCAGCCTTCTGTGCGGAGCACGGCATCACCCAGTCGTTCACGCTTCCGGCCTCTCCGCAGCAGAATGGGGTTGCTGAGCGCCGCATTGGCTTAGTCATGGAGGTCGCTCGTACCTCCATGATCCATGCGGCGGCTCCCCATTTTCTGTGGCCGTTCGCGGTCCGGTACGCCACGCATCAGCTCAACCTCTGGCCCCGTGTCTCCTTGCCGGAGACCTCGCCCACACTGCTGTGGACGGGGGAGGTTGGCGATGCGTCGCGTTTCCGGGTCTGGGGTGCTCGTGCCTTTGTCCGCGATCTCACCGCGGACAAGCTCTCTGCTCGTGCCATTCCCTGCGTCTTCCTTGGTTTTCCTCCTGACGCGCCTGGCTGGCAGTTTTACGACCCCACCTCGCGCCGTGTCTTTGCGTCTCAGGACGTCACCTTTGACGAGTCTGTTCCCTTCTACCGTCTCTTTCCCTACCGCACTGTCTCTCGCCCCCCCCCGCCGCTCTTTCTCGCTCCAGGTCCTCCCCAGGTAGACCCCCTCCCCGCGCCAGGTCCTGCTCCTTCAGGTGTTTCTCAGGTAGACCCTCCGGTACCTGCGCATGTTGAGGTCACTGGTGACTCAGGTCCTGCTGGAGGTGGTCCTGCTCGGGGTGCTGTCTCTGGGGGTGCTGAGCCTGGGGGTGCGGAGTCTGGGGATGCCGTGCCTGTGCGTGAGGAGCCTGGCGGTGCTGAGCTTGGGGGTGTCGAGTCTGAGGGTGCTGTGCCTGCGCGTGAGGAGCCTGGAGGTGCTGAGCTTGCGGGTGCCGAGTCTGCGAGTACTGAGCCTACGCGTGAGGAGCCTGGGGGTGCTGGCGCTGGAGGTTCTGGAGCAGCTGGGGGTGCTGGCGCTGAGGGTTCTAAGTCTGCTGTTGCGCGGTCTCCTTGGAGTAGCCGCCTTCGTCCACGTGTGCCTCTCACCCCACAGCAGCTCCAGGACTGGTACGGTCACCGTCAGCGTCGCGCTGCTGGAGCTAGGAGTGGTGCTGGACCTTTGTCTACTGGAGGTGCTGGAGTCGCTGGTTCTGGAGGTACTCGTACTGGAGACACTGAGGCTGGAGACCCTGGGACTGGAGGTGCTGGCTCTGGGGGTGCTGCTGCTGGTGACACTGAGGCTGGAGACCCTGGGACTGGGGGTGCTGGTTCTGGGGGTGCTACTACTGGAGACACAGGGGCTGGAGACCCTGGGACTGGAGGTGACGACTCTGGGACTGGAGCTTCTGGAGCTGCTGGAGGTTCTGGAGCTGCTGGAGGCACTGGAGCTGCTGGGGGTACTGGAGCTGCTGGAGCTGCCGGTACTGATGCAGCTGCGCCGACACGACTGTTCTTCGCTCCGCCGTCTCCGTCGTCTCTGCCGCCGTCTGACTCTGTTCTTCGTCAGGTTCTTACTCTCCCGTCGTCTACTGGTCTTCCGTTACAGCCTGGCTCACCGCTGCCTGCTCCTTCTCCTTACACTGAGCAGACTGGTAGTCCTGCTGAGCGTCGTGAGCCTGTGTCGCGTCCTGTCTCGCCTGCTCGTCCCGGTCGTCGTGTTCCTCGTTCGCGTCAGCAGGCTGTCCCCAGCACACACCTTGTAGTTCGTCGTCCTTCCTCTGCTCTGCAGCCTGTTCCTCTTCCGTCTCCTCCTGCGTCCTCTCTACCTGACGTTCCAGACCCTGAGTCTGACCGGTTTCGTGCTGAGCACCCTACTGTCACGCGTCTGCTAGCCACTGTTGTCACTGACCCGTCGTTTGAGTCTACTGCTGCGTCTGCTCTTGTCGCTGAGCTTGTTGACTTTGCTGCTGCCTGTCGTCTAGACTACGCCGCCAGTCTTGTTGCTGCGTCTGCGTCTGTCTGTCCTCCGTCCGTCGGGGGTGAGTGTGCTCTTAGCACGGACGTCCTTGAGGACAGGCAGGAGGAGTTCCAGTGTCTTGCTGCTGCTTTACCTCATCTTGTGTCCTCGCTACTTGCCCCTGAGGGAGACCCGGATGCACCAGACATCCCGACTCCGCGCTCTTACGCAGAGGCGATAGAGAGTCCCTACTCCTCTCAGTGGCAGGCAGCCATGGACGCAGAGATGGCTTCCTGGAAGTCCACAGGCACCTATGTCGACGAGGTTCCCCCACCTGGGGCGAACATCGTCAGTGGCATGTGGATTTTCAGGGTGAAGCGGCCGCCGGGTTCTCCGCCTGTCTTCAAGGCGCGTTACGTGGCTCGAGGCTTCAGTCAGCGAGAGGGAGTTGACTTCTTCCAGACCTTCTCCCCCACCCCGAAGATGACCACTCTTCGGGTGCTGCTGCACGTTGCTGCTCACCGTGACTACGAGCTTCACTCTCTTGACTTCAGCACTGCTTTCTTACAGGGCAGCCTGCACGAGGAGATCTGGCTGCGCCGCCCCCCGGGCTTCACTGGGTCGTTCCCTCCTGGCACCCAGTGGAGCCTCCGACGGCCGGTCTACGGTCTCCGCCAGGCGCCACGTGAGTGGCACGACACACTGAGGACGACACTTGCGGCTCTTGGGTTTGCGCCTTCTACTGCTGACCCGTCGCTGTTTCTGCGCACAGACACTTCACTGCCGCCGTTCTACATCCTCGTGTACGTCGACGACTTGGTTTTTGCCACTGCTGACACTGAGGCTCTCGCCCACGTGAAGTCGGAGCTACAGAAGAGACACACGTGCACTGACTTGGGTGAGCTGCGCAGCTACCTTGGCTTGCAGATCACCCGGGACAGAGCACGCCGCACCATCACCTTGACTCAGTCACACATGGTGCAGCAGGTCCTTCAGCGCTTCGGCTTCACCTGGTCTTCAGCACAGGCCACTCCTCTGGCTACAGGTCACACGCTCTCAGCTCCACCTTCGGACGAGTCCGTAGAGCCGAGTGGTCCTTACCCAGAGCTAGTCGGCTGCCTCATGTACCTGATGACTTGCACTCGACCTGACCTCGCGTACCCTCTTGGTCTCCTCGCTCGCTACGTGGCTCCTGGTCGACACCGACCTGAGCACATGGCTGCTGCTAAGAGGGTACTGCGCTACTTGTGCAGCACATCAGGCATGGGGCTAGTGCTTGGAGGGACGAGCCCAGTTGTCCTCACTGGGCACTCAGACGCTTCTTGGGTTGACGACCTGGCTACTCAGCGGTCGTCACAGGGTTACACCTTCAGCCTTGGCTCTGGTTCAGTTTCGTGGCGTTCTACACGCTCGTCTTCAGTTCTTGGCTCCAGTTGTGAGGCTGAGATCTACGCCACCGCCATGGCTGCACAGGAGTTACGCTGGCTCACCTACCTGCTGACTGACTTGGGAGAGCAGCCTCGTTCTCCTCCAGTGCTGTACGTTGACAACAAGGCCGCCATTGCCTTGTGTGAGGAGCACAGACTGGAGCACAGAACGAAGCACATTGCTCTGCGTTACTTCCTGGCTCGAGAGTTGCAGCAGCGAGGCCAGCTTTGTCTTCGTTACGTGGCCACTCGGGCCAACACTGCTGATATATTCACCAAGGCACTTCCGTCTGGTGATCATCAGCGCTTTTGTACTCTGTTAGGCCTTGTGCCTATGCTTTCACACTTGCTGTAGTCTTTGCTTGTACTGTGATCTATATACCTATATACCTGCATGCTGTCTCTTGCTAGGTAGCTCGACACTGTACTGTCATTGCTGCATATATATCTCTGCATGTGAACTGGCCTTGTGGCCATTTGCTTGTGCTCAGAATGTGTAGTGACGTTGTGATCCACCCTGAGCTTGTTTTGTTTCTCTTGACTGGTCTTGTGACCCATTGCTCTCCCCCACTTTGCCTATGGGGGTGTGTCAAATGATATATATATGTGATACATATTGGTAGGCTGTAGTGGGGTAGATGTTATAGGGGATAACCCCTTAGGGTTTTTCCTACTTGTAAAATTTCTCTCGATAGTCAACTCACCTTGCCTAGCTATCTCAACACGTGCCGCACCTCCTCTCTTGAATTTGCTCACACTGTGTGACCATTCGAAGAGGGGTGACTGCATTTGATTGCAGTACAATGTAAGCACGGACGGTTACAATTTCTAAGCACAAGCAGGCAGTGGTTTCCCGCACAGGTTGGGATTCCCTGGTTTAAAAGAGGCTCTCTTCAGCTTGCTCAGAGCAGCCGGGACAGCCCCTGACAGTCGGTTCCCTGCCAGCAGCACGGTCCGTACACCTGCCGGCCAAACCGCGGGAATTGTTCCCGATAGCTTGTTATACGATAACCCGAGTCCCTTTAATCGCTGCAGTTTGCTCATGCCAGCTGGGATTGATCCTGTAAGAGCGTTCTTGTCAAGAAGCAGCCGTTTGAGGTATTTAAATGAGCTGATTGTAGCGGGGATGGGGCCGGAGAGGCGGTTGGAGGAGAGGTAGAGGAGGGCCAGGGAAGCAGAGCAGGAGGGGGAGGAGAGCGGGGTGGGCGGGCCAGAGAGGGCGTTGGAGGCGAGATTGAGGAAGATGAGTTGTTGGCCTGCCTTGCAGAAAGTGGGGATGGGGCCTGGAGGGGAATGGGGCCAGGCGTAGGGCGAGGAGAGAGAGGGAAGGAGGAAAAAGAGTATGGATGGGAGACTGAAGAAAGGAACGAGCATGGATGGGGCAGGTGAAGCAGAAATGTGGACAATTAAGAGTGAACAACAGCCAGCTTACCTGTGAGAGCGTTTCCCCCAAGGTCCAAGTAGTTAAGCTGGGGTAAAGTGGTGAGTCGTTGGGGAATTCCCCCTGTAAATTTGTTGAACCCCAAGTCCACAGCTGCGATGTCCTTGGGCAGGTTCGCAAAAGCCTGCAAGCTGCCCGAGAAACTGTTGTGGCTTAAAAAGAGGGCAAGCTGCATGATACTCCCAGACTTGAAGCAGTTTGCTGGAACGGTTCCGGTCAGGCGATTGCGCGAAAAATCGGCGCCAGAAAGGCTGCCCGAGCGGCACAGGATCTGAGGAAAGGAGCCCGAAAACAAATTTTCCGAAACGTCGATGAAGGTCAGAAATTCGCTGAACCTGATCGTGTTAAAGTTTCCGGTCAGCCTGTTCCGGCTCAAGCCAATTAGAGAAGCTTTTATTTGCTGCCCGCTCAGGTCGCCAGACAGCCGGTTCCAGTCTAAAACAAGTGCCGACAGCTCCAATTTCAGCAGGGCAGGTGGAATATTTCCAGTCAGGCGATTCGTGTTTAAAAGTACTGTCTGAAGCATCGGCAGCGTCGCGAGGGCAGCGGGAATCGGCCCGGAGAGCCAGTTAATCCCAAGGTCGAGAATCGCGAGCGAATTCATCGCGGCGTACGAAGCAGCGCGCTGTGGTATCCCGCCGGAGAAGAAGTTTCGCGACGCAGTCAGAGAGTAAAGATTTGGCAAGCTAAAAAAGGCGACGGGAAGAGGACCAGTGAAGCAGTTATCTTGGAAATCGAGATTGCTGAGTTTCGTAAGCCGGGAAAGGGATCGCGGCAACGCGCCGGCAAGCCAGAGGTTATACATATATAGCACGGTTAGATCCGTTAACTCGCCGATAGACTCGGAGAGCGTTGCGGGGAATTTTCCGCCAGGTTCGCGCGCAGTACGGTTGCAAAGGCGAGGCGTGGGTGGGAGCAAGAGACGGCTGACGGTGCTCGTGAGGTTGAGCCCAACGACAGCGCCGTTTGCGGCGCAAATCACGCCAGGCCACGCGCACGCGTTCGGCTTGTTCGCCGGGATGGGCAGCAGCGCTGCCGTGAAGATTGCCTTAAGAGCCGCCGTGTTAGCCGCCGAAGCCTGCGGCGAGGCTGCGGATACGCGCAACCCTAAACTCGTGGACATGCTGTGGGGGGAGCTGGTTCCGCCGCTGGTTCCGCCGCCCGCCGACGCCCCTTCTGCGCGCTCCGCGGAAAATGCTTTTTCCGCGGGTAATTCTTTCTCCGTGGACGCTTTCTCCGCCCTCCACGCGGCGACTAATTGCGCTGCGGGTGGCGGAACCGCCCGCGCGGAGACTCCTCGTACGCGGCGAGCAGCATGCAGATTCGATATTAGCTGCCTCGATATGGGCCCAAAAGCCGTCGCTGGTAAGCAGTAGAGGAGTAGCAGGAGCATGCATGCTGTGGCACTTGCGTGAGCGCGCAGCGCGCCGTGAGGAGAGGTGATCGAATGCGCGACTCGAGGGTATTCTGCTCCCGCCATCGTGTGTCAACGACGCGTGGTTCCGACTCAAGCCTATCCAGTCAAGCCGTGATACTTCTGGCTTTCCAGAACTCTTACGTGAGAATCGAAACCTATCCAGTTATGAGAGAAACCTAAACTGCGTTTCCACCGAGGAAGGTTAAAATAAGGGAATGGTTAGAGAAGGAATACGGGCTGAGTTTCCCAGATAAGCCATGGAAAGTCTGCTGGTCGGTCCACTCAACTTATACTGCTCCAATGCCTGATCGCAAGAAAGTGCGATGCGTGTGCTAAACGTAAAGCAACGGGAGTGGTGACAACGTAAGGCAAATGATAGCTGTTTCAAACTGGATGTCGCGTGTAAACCGCCTGTGGCTTGGCACTCTCGCCGACCAGAGAATACGTACTGAGGGGTTGGGGGTGATTGGAAAATGGATTGAGTTGCTTTGGGTTGAAATGGTTTGGGATGGTTTGATTTGGGCTTAGTGAGGTGCGTGCGAACACCCGCAAGAGATGAACGAGTCACTGGTACAACTGAAGGGGGAGCACGGCAGCTGGTACAACTGACAAATGCGGGGGTATGGAGGAAAATCGAGAGAGTAGTAGGTGATTATTAAAAGGTCAAATGCGGTTTATTAACGCTAAAGTTTGATACTGCACGATGATCGAGCCAAAACTGTAATTTCTTGCTCGAGTGTGGGTGGGTAGGGGGGAAGCCGTTGGTGTGAAGTAGGCGTGAGATGCGGAGCCACAGTCAGCACGAAACCGTTATTCTCAAGTCCCAATGGAAATGCGATGTTGCATTCCCTATGTCCAATGGAATTGCAACGGCAACGCAAACCACGCAACGGCGTTGGCTGGCTGATCCGACCGTACAACCCCCAAACCGCTTCTGCCTGCCCAGGCAGCGAGCATTCAGCGAGAAGACAAAACGGTATAGAATATATTGACTGCAAAGCAATGAATGACCCATATTTGCTGACAAAGCAAAAGGAAAAAGGGTTTCAGTATTTTAGCCAAATTCACCATTCAAACAATCACTGTCAAGTCAACCACAGCAATTTCATCAGTTTCAACACAGGCGCTATAGTGACAGTACTTCTAACAGCCTACAATAGACTGAATTCATACCATATCAGTCCTACAGTTAACATACGGTATATTCCCTTGAAGTGAATACGGTGGTAAGAAAAGAAAGGCCACTTAGGTTCATGGGTTCAACGGGTTAGCAGGGTTCCATGCATAAGCAACAAGCACGAGAAACCCTGTGATTAACGCAAACCATGCCATAGCGTTATCTGCATGCAACAATGTTACAGAGGAACAAGTCAAGGTATGAGAAATTTGCGAAGACGAGAATTTTGCAAGATTCCGTAATTTGCAGTTGTGAGCACAAGAACACAAAAAATACTTACCTCGCTGTAATTTAATCAGCCTCGGACGATCGTCTATTTCCGAGTCTGACACGTCACCCTTCGAGGCTGCAGCTGCGGCCATCCGGTCTATTTCGTCCATATCAATTGGACTCACACCTGAGGCCTTTCCAAAAGGGTTCCAGCTTTTGAAAAGATAAGGAAATGGCGGAAGGGAGTCGGTGAACTTGAAAAACGAAGGGGGCAGCAAAGTCTTTTCCTCCTCCCTGCTTTCTCCCCTGCTTCCGGTGTTGTTAGGGGTAGAGAATGTCTCAAAGGGTGGTTCTAATTCGATCAGTGCTGCTGGTAGAGGTGCACTTGCCTCCTTTGCTGCTGCAGCTGCTGCTGCTGCTGCTGCTGACGATGGTGCTATTGCAGCTGATGGCAATGATACTGCTGTTACTGCTGCTACTGCTGATGATGATGCGGACGCAGTGGCTACATATGCAGAAGCCATGACTGGAACAGGCACTGGAGCTATAGCTCTTTCAGGAAGTTTACTTGGAGGTGAAGAGACAGGGAGATTTGGAAGCTCCTCTGATGTGCGCTTCGTAGGTACGACAGGAGGAAGGTCCGGTATGGTGGGCAGGTTTGGAGAAGCAGGGAGGAGAGGCGCAGGAACGGAGTACTCATTGTTGAGAGCAGTGGCTCTGAAAGAGAAGAGGGGGCAGATGCGAGGATGAAATCGAATAAATTCTCACTGCTGTAAATTTCAAATTATTCTTGTTACTCCAGCATTCAGTAGACTCACTGTCAAGACGAGCGGACCGGAGAGAAAAAAACGGGGGCAAGCGTGGGTGGGGATGGAGGGACGGGGGGAGGATCTGGGGTGTGTAGCGAGAGACTCTCAAATCGGATTCGTCAAGGTGTGTGGAGAGAGGTTAGTCAGGGTGTGTGGAGAGAGGTTTGTTACGATTGAAATTGTAAAAAGAGAAAGCGCGCTTTCATACGCATTCAGTTATGACTCAGCTAGACCTTTCAGCAGCAGCCAGATCACAAGCATGCCAACAGCGACCCCACTCTTCCTCTTCGAGTTTCCCCTTTCTTCCTCCCCCTCACCTGGCTTTCACCCGGGACTGAATTTCTTTGACCAGCAGGCCAACAGCGACGAGACTTTGTCAGTCAATTTTGAGATTTGAATTTTCAATTCGAAGAAACAATGATTGAAGCTCACCTGGCTTTCATCCATGATTGAATCCCTTTAACCAGCAGGCCAACAGCGAGCAACGCCGCTGCCAGCTGACCCTTCGTTAGTAGCAAAGCCGAGCCATCCGCGACCCCGAGCCTCCCTTTCAGGTTCGGTGGGAGAGGCAGGGCCTGCACGCTTTCCTGCAGCTGCTTCGGCAGGGCGACAGGCTCGGCAGCAGCCGTCGCTAGGCTCTGCCACGCACCGCTAGTCGCACGTTGCGCGCGACTTAAAACCTCTTGCGCTGCCGCAGAGATGGCGGGAGAAGGACTCTCCGTTGCATTTGTTGCTGATGCTGATTCGCTTGGTGGCACGACTTCTGGAGGTGCAATCTGTACTGATTCTGCTGCTGTGGCTGTGTCTGTGGCTGTGGCTGCGGCTGCGGCTGCTGATGCATCTGGTTCCGCAGCGAGAGATGCTTCCGAAGCAGTGGCATCTGCAGGCACGGTATCAGGCACGGAGGTATCAGCAGGTTCGGGGGAAGCAGCAGTTACAGAATCAACAGGAGGGGAAGAGTTAGTAGGGACATCCGTGGGGGGGCTTTTAGCAGATGAGCTAGTACTAGCCGTTGACCTCTTTTTCGCGCTTTCTCCCCGCCAGCCATCGTGTCGCTTCTGCAGGTTCCGCTTGTCGCGAGCCGCGTCCTCGGCTTTCGAAAGCTTCGCCTCAACGACCACCAGCCGTCGTTTTTCGCGAGGTACTCGAACTGGCGGCGACGTTCAAGGCGGTGGTTACCAGGAGGAAAGCTTCGCAGGAAGGAAGTCTGCGAAGGGGAACCAGCGTATGAGTGAGAGCGTCCTAATGTAGGGTTCCGCGGGCTGTAGCCGAGGAATGCCCCGGGAGTGCGGATAGTTACGTCCAAGTTACCCATAATCTCGGCGTGCGAGCCCAAGTTCCCCAACTATAGCTGCGCGCTCAACGTGCGGCGTACTTCAGAAGGTAAGTATTTATTTCGATAATGGCGGTAGAAGCAGAAATTCGCTCCTATCACTCTCGATGAGAAAGACTCAGCAGATCGTGGTGTTTAAGAGAAGCGCTAGCGTAGTTCGCCGATTGTCTGCCTCTTGAGGAAAGATAACGCAACCTGTTGTTTTGCGGGTATGCATGCAGTGCGTGCCGTCTGCTAACCACCTGCGGGCTACTTCACCGAAGGAATATTCCAATTCCTCGTGGCCTCCCAGAATTACCAGGTCGGCAGTTTCAAGGATGAATGCCGCTGAGATGACTCAAAACCACAATGCAACCGCTTTCTATCACTCTGTACACCTCGATGAGAGGCTTGCAGCCCTGGGGAACTCCAGTGCCATGCCATGGCGCACGAAGCAATTCCAACTGCTTTGGCGGGAAATCCAAGCTGACGGTGTAAGGGGAAATGCTGTGCTGGTGGGTGTACCCTTGAAATTGTGTGCTGTGTCAGAAGAAGATGGATTGACGTCAGCGCAATCCGAGACTTGACGTTGGAGGGAGCTTATAGAGGGTCCAAGCTCAACGGTCGAATGTCCTCATGCTTGTAATAAATTTCATACACAATAAAAAACTAAACTGTACCTCCTGAAATCAATGGGATCCATGAAACTTTAAATATATGAGGGAATCTTCAAGCTCCAGTTTAGACTATCTGGGAACATTTGGGATAGAATTTGGAAGCACAGAAGAAGCACTAAGATGTGCTAGCTGAGAGTGACAATGAAAATAATTCACAGAAACATAATCTTCGATCATAGCATTAAGCACAAGACCATAGAACACTTGTGAAGATATCGAAACACGTTCGTGACACCTTGAAAGGGCAATTCCTCAAATTACCCTCCTGCGAAGTGATCTGCATGCTGGGACTCCTACACATCAAGGAGGCCGTTCTAGGAGTACTTCCCATTCGGCCCGAGCAGCTCATGTAGGCCAGAATGACCCGCGCCCGGCTGTTCGTTTCCGCGGCTCGCGGATTCCTCGCGAGGCGCGGAGATCAAGCGGCCAGTAGCAACTCTGCCGCTAATGGCGCCGATTCCTTCCTGTACCACGTCAGCAGGGCTTTAAGCTCCTGCTCGTGGATCCGATCCACTGAACTGGATCCAAGCCGTCTAGACGTCGGTCCAAATAGTCTCAACCGTTCCCTGGTTCAGAATGCGTCCGCCTGTTCCGTAGTATCCTCCGCGCCGCACTATAGCGGCTTGATCTGCCGAGACGTTAGACCGCCTAGAAGCTACAGATTCAGCACCAGCGCCGCTGACGCCGCTGCTGACGCGATCGGCCTAGATGATTCGTCAGCGACTCCGATCGCCGAGTCGCACGGGGCGCTTCGCAACGAGGCGATTCGCAATGTAGCGATTATAGCCCACGTGGATCACGGCAAGACGACGCTCATGGATCGCCTCATCCGCGCCTCGAGCTCCGCTGCTGCGACCACCACCTCCGCCAGCGGCGGCGGCGGCGGAGGGTCGGGATCGTCTGAGTTGCCATGCGAACGAGTGATGGACTCGATCGCTCTGGAGCGAGAACGAGGAATCACGATTGCGAGCAAGGTGCGCATCCCAGGCATTTGTTCCCCAAGTTTACCACTTATTTTTCAGCCGACCCTGAAATCTGAACTTAAGCCCTGACCCTCCACCCTAACCTTGAAACCTGAACCCAGGCCCTGAAACTTCAACTCTTTTTCTTCCTCCTGACATGTTTTCTCGTCTATGATTGTGACGTAACAGTACACGTCAGTCACTTTCAAGGGCACGACGCTCAACCTCGTGGACATGCCGGGTCAATTCCAAGTCGTTCTCTACCTTCTGTTTTCTTCCCTGTGATTGTGACCTTGTGTGACTATTGTGACTGTGACAGTACACGTCGGTCACATTCAAGCCACCACGCTCAACCTCATGGACACTCCTGGTCACTTTTCAAGCCTTTCTATTCCTTCTGCGACGTTTTCTCGTCTGTGATTGTGACCTTGTGTGACTGATGTGACTGTGACAGTACACCTCGGTCACATTCAAGGGCACCACGCTCAACCTCGTGGACACTCCTGGTCATGCCGACTTCGGAGGGGAGGTGAGATCCGGGGAAGGTGAGATCCGGCTGAGGCGAGGTTTGGAATGTGGGAAGGCGACATCCTGGTCAGGCGGAAGTCAGTGCACGTGAGGTGGAGAGTAGGTGAGATTTGAGGAGGGTGAGATCCGAGGAGGGTGAGATCCGAGGAGGGTGAGATCCGAGGAGGGTGAGATCCGAGGAGGGTGAGATCCGAGGAGGGTGAGATCCGAGGAGGGTGAGATCCGAGGAGGGTGAGATCCAAGGAGGGTGAGATCCAAGGAGATCCGAGGGAGGTGAGATCCGACGGAGGTGGTATCCGAGGGAGGTGGTATCCAGAGGTGAAAGCTGACGGGGGTGAGATGTGGAGAAGGTCACATCTTGACAAGGGAGGAGCCAGGGCAGGTGACTTGGCGGGGAAGGTGAGTTTCTGAGGAGGGAGGTCAGGTTTGCTCCTGCGTGCTGCAATTGATGTGCGTCTTCTAATTGTAAGTTTATACTGGGTTTCACAAATTCGGTCGTGTCAAAATCTCTGGGTTTCTAGAGTTTTGGGGTTTCTGAAGTTTTCGGGGTTAAAGTGTTTTTTTGGGTTCTGAAAGTTTTCTAGCCGTTGTCCACCCACCCACTCCATCCCCCCTCCCCTTACAGGTGGAGCGGGTGATGGGCATGGTGGATGGGGCGCTGCTATTGGTCGACGTGGCGGAGGGGCCCTTGGCTCAGACCAAGTTTGTGTTGGGGAAGGCCCTGCAGAGGGGCTTAAAGCCCATCGTCGTGCTCAACAAGTGCGACCGGCCTTCAGGTAATTCCGACAGAGCTTCAGGTGATGCAGACCCCACCCCTGGCAGACCCCACCCCTGGCAGACCCCACCCTACCACACCCCACCGCACCGCAGTGACCACACAGATGGTGCATCAAGTGGAGTCAGCCATCTTCACCCTCCATCCTTATTCTTTCCCCTCCCCTCCTCTCATCCTCTCTCTTCCCCACCCCACCCTACCACACCCCACCGCACCGCAGTGACCACACAGATGGTGCATCAAGTGGAGTCAGCCATCTTCGACCTCTTCGCTTCTTTTGATGCCACAGGTGGTTACCACTACTCGTCATGTGATTGGTACCAGTACACTACGTGTCAGGTGGTTACTACTACTACGTGTCAGGTGGTTACCACCACATATCAGTTGGTTACCAGCACACTGTCTCAGGTGGTCAGATCGGATCAGGTGTCTACTGGTGCTTAGAACGCGTGACAGCTGTTTGTGCAGATGCAAAGGCAGTATGTTGTGAGGTCATACAGGCACCCACAAGCACCCGCTCCCACCCCTCTCCATCCCTTCATTCATTCCACAAAACACCCTCCAGAGGAGCTGCTAAACTTTCTAATGCTCCGTGCCTCAGCCAGACACAGCTGTTCTGTTCCATCTCCTCTGTTGGCCATGCCCCCTCCCTCTCACCTACTGCTATATCGTTCCCTCCCCCGTCCCCTCCTTCATTCACTCCCTCACATTCGCCCATCAGAGGAGCAGCTGGGCTTCCCGGTGCTCTATGCCTCTGCAAGGCACGGCTGGGCCAGCCCCTCTTGACACGGTGCCCCTGCCCGCTCCCTCCCCTCTAACATACGATTATTTCCCCACTCCCTCACACCATCCCCTACATTCGCCCATCAGAGGAGCAGCTGGACTTCCCGGTGCTCTATGCCTCGGCCAGGCACGGCTGGGCCAGCTGCTCCTGGCCTCCGCCCCAGCTCACGGCAACAGGGGCTGAGACAGCAGCAGCAGAAGCAGCAACAGAAGCAGCGAAGGGGGAGAGTGGAGTGATGCCGATTCTTGAGGCCATTCTGGACCGCGTGCCACCCCCTGTGGTGGACCCAGCAGCGCCCTTTCAGATGCTGGTAAGCTGTGCAGTAAGGCAGTTGTGCTTGGCTCGGCCCCTCATTCCCATCGTCTCGCATCAACACCTCATGGGACACGATTTCTTACTACGTGCTGCCTCCAGTAGTGGATCAAGCAGCGCCCTTCCATTCCAAATGCTACTCTGCCTTTTTTTTCCCTCATCAACTTCACTCTGCAGTTGACTTTTGAGTCGACTCAAAAGTCACCTCAATGCTACTCTGCCTCCTTTTTCCCTCATCAACTTCACTCTGCATTTCATCAGGGGCTGAGGAAGCCTTGTGCATGGCTTCTTCGATATTGTCCGGTCCATCCATACACTTGTGCCAGGTGTCAATTATTGACAGGGCCCCGTCTCTAGTCCGAGGCGTCTCAGAAATAGCTGTTATTTTCTATCCCCTGCTTCTTCTTCGTCTTCTTCTTTCTCCCTCTTGTCCCGTCCGTGCGCTCTTGTGCCAGGTGTCACTCATTGACAGGGACCCATTTCTTGGACGCTTGCTCATTGGCCGGATAGCGTCGGGTTCAGTGCGCGTGGGGGACAGAGTGCGGGCGCTGATGCGGGACAGCGAGGGAGAGGCGGTTACTCTAGAGGAGAGCAAGGTGAGTGGGTTGAGAGAGGTGCGTGTGTGGAGTGTTGGGCTGTATGAACTAGCGTCTCGTTCAGTGCGCGTGGGTGACAGGGTGTGAGCACTGATGCGGGACAGTGAGGGGGAGGTGGTCTAGTTGGAAGAGAGCAAGGTGGGTGGAGCATTGGAGCGGCTTGAAGCAGTGGGATAGTCACATATGGCAGGTGTGGTGCGCGTGCACGACAGGGTGCAGGCACTGATGCAGGACAGTGAGAGGGAGGGGTTTGAGAGGAGGGGTGTTTGCCACTCTAAACGTCCCATGCTGTTCCCCGTATAAGGAATCGCACCTTTCCCATCTTCCCCTAATCCTGCTATGACATCAGGTACTGAAGCTGGTGAAGCGGAGGGGAGTGAATACGGAGGGCATGGAGTGAGGCTGCAGCAGCAGGGGGTGCTTGAATGAGAGAAAATCCCACGTCGCCCCACTCTTCCTCTCTTCCTTTCTGCCTCTCTGCCTGTCTCTCTGGGCTCTTTGCAGGTGGTGAAGCTGGTGAAGCGGAGGGGAGTGAAGTCTGAGGACATGAGTGAAGCGGCAGCAGGAGACATTGTGGCAGTAGCGGGATTGACACATGCACACGTCTCACACACGCTCGCGGATCTATCGGTGAGTATGTGGCAGGCATTGTGGCACTGTGGCAATGCCAGCTTTTGAGTCGACTCAAAATCGTTTGTGGCAGTTGCAGGGATGACACACACCCGCGTCTCACGCACTCTCACAGACCTCTCGTTACGTTTCTTCTGCACCTTCACAGTTTGCCTGTGGAACCCGCATAGGGGGCGATGGCATAAGTTTCAGACATGTCTCACTGAGACATGTCTGGAAACCGGATAGGGGGGCAATGAAATTATGACAGTGGCGGGGACGACACACACACCCACGTCTCACACACTCTCATAGACCTGTCGGTACGCAGTGTTTTCCTTGTTTGTTCCTCTCGCAGGCTTTAGCGTCGCCATGCCTTCTCCCTTCGTCCGTTTTCCATTCCTTCATCTCTCCATCTCTCGACCTTCTGTGTCAACAACATCCTACACGCTTGTGTTTCTCTTCCCCTTCTCACCCCTCCTTCTCTCCCCTGTCACTCCCTCCCGTTCGGGGCCCAGCCATCAATACCTGTTTGTATCCAACCAGGTATCCAAACCCCTCCCAGTAGCAGCCATTGACCCTCCCACCATCGCCATGACCTTCAGTGTTAACAACGATTAGCCGCTTTCTCACCTTTCTTTCCCCTTCGCTTCATGCACCCTGGCCCGTTTCACACCCTTCCCCACGCTTCCAGGTATCCAAGCCCCTCCCAGTTGCAGCTATCAACCCGCCCACCATCGCCATGACCTTCAGTGTCAACGGTATCCTTTCTCCATTCACCCCTTCGTTCCAAACTCCCCATCGCCCCCCCCCACCTTTACTTTACTCCTCCCTGCCAGGTCTCCAAGCCCCTGCCAGTTGCAGCTATCGACCCTCCCACAATCGCCATGACCTTCAGTGTCAACGACTCGCCTCTGGCCGGGAGACACGGCACCCAGGTGAGCCCTCAGGTGAAATATCAGGTAAGCTCTCAGGTGCGTTCTCTCCTACCATAGCTATGACCTTCAGCATCAACGAACTGCTTCTTGGGGAGAAACAGCACCCAGGTGAGATCTCAGGGGAGACACCGCTCCCCTTCAAATGTCGCGACGCTTGACATTCAGAGGTAGCAATTATCGTGTTTCTGGAATGGAGGCTGATTAGTGACTCTCTGGGCCCAGAGAGTGCGCAGCGGGGCGCACCTCCATTTCTTAGGTCCTGGAGAGTGCATGTGGCCCGTCTGCGCACGCCATAGTGCTGCCACATGCTCTCGGCCTCACATGCACACGTGCCACGTGTCCCGCCCTTCTCTTGCTCTTGTATGCACAGATGACTGGGCCCAAGATCGGCGCGCGGCTCAAAGCAGAGGTGGCGACCAACGTGTCTCTGGGCCTGGAGCCTGGTCCTTCTGCACACGCCTTAGTGCTCCCACCACGTGCCCTCACCTTCCCCCTCCCCTCTCCCCTCTCCCTAATCGCTTCCACTCACATGCATCAGATGACCGGCCCAAAGATCGGCGCGCGGCTCAAGGCAGAGGTGGCGACCAACGTGTCCCTGGGACTGGAGCCTGGTCCCTCTGCGGACGCGTTCAAAGTGTTGGCCAGGGGCGAGATGCAGCTGGGTGAGTAGCGGTTGAGTCCGGTTGTCCTCCTGGCACAGATGTTTGCTAATTAGGTGACTTTTCATGTCAACTAACAAACTCAACAGCTGCTCATTTCCCTCTCAAGTGCTCTTGCTTGCTTTCCTGCCTGCCCATCATTGGCCTCTGTCAGTCCCTCATGTTGTTGTATCCTCCTTTCCCCTTCCTTCCTCTCTCCCCGTTGCTCTCCGTATGTGACTTGTACACGAAATCAGGTGTGCTTATAGAGAGTATGCGCAGGGAAGGGTTCGAGCTCTCCATATCGCCAGCAACCGTGCTGTGAGTCGGCCATGCTGTCGTGCAAAGAGGGGTTTGCTGATTGCTGTGAGTAAGTTTGTGATGGGTTTTGAGACCAACCGTCCTACTCCTTCGTTTGTTCCGTGGAGCGAAAGTGATGGCGCTTCGGTTGGTTTTGTTTGCTCTTCTCATTTTTCATCTCCTTTTTCATCTTCTTTCTCCACTAGAAGGAGTTGTTGGTATACTCCTGAATAACCTTCTTTCGAGGCACCTCAGAAGTCTTTTGAGGCCCCTCACTTTCCTTCGTATCACCTCCTTTTCTCTCCCACCCCTTGCTGCTCTTTCTTTCCATAAGTGGCGTGGCCCCTCAAGTCTCCGGCACACTTTTGAGTCGACTCAAAAGTCGTCTTTCTTTCCATAAGTGGCGTGGCCCCTCCCGTCTCCGGCACACTTTTGAGCAACTCAAAAGTCGTCTTTCTTTCCATAAGTAGCGTGGCCCCTCAAGTCTCCGGCACACTTTTGAGTCGACTCAAAAGTCGTCTTTCTTTCCATAAGTAGCGTGGCCCCTCAAGTCTCCGGCACACTTTTGAGTCGACTCAAAAGTCGTCTTTCTTTCCATAAGTGGCGTGGCCCCTCAAGTCTCCGGCACACTTTTGAGTCGACTCAAAAGTCGTCTTTCTTTCCATAAGTGGCGTGGCCCCTCAAGTCTCCGGCACACTTTTGAGTCGACTCAAAAGTCGTCTTTCTTTCCATAAGTGGCGTGGCCCCTCCTCTCTCTAACACACCTAAGTCTCTCCCATCCCATGCCCCTCCCGCTCCTGAGTTCCCCCTCTTCCACAACCCTTTCCTCTGCAGGTATCGTGAAGAGGGTGGGAAGAAGCTGGAGCCGATTGAAGAGCTCATGGTGGAGGTGAGTGGTGATGATTGGTGGGGTGCGGTGATATGCGGTGAGTGGCGGTTAGATGTGGTTTTGTGTGGTGGTGTCTGGTTGGTGTGGTCAAGCATAGTAGCTGGTGCGGAAATCAGCTGTACCCTACAGTGCGGTGTGGTAAGCAGCTTGAACGGCGGGAAGAAACCCAGGTATGTATGAGCAGGTTGAAGAAACCTGCTCCTATCTGTGCCTGTGCGTGCTCATACATGCCTGGGTTCGGCTGATGCCATGTTTGAGACATCTCAAAAGGGTTTTGAGGTGCCTCAAAGCAGCTTGACCGGCAGGAAGAGACCTGCTCCTGTGTGTGTTTGTGTGTGCTCATGCGATCCCCTGGGTCCGTCTTATGCTGTGCCTGCCCGTCTCTGTGTTTCTGTCGAGAGAAGCTGGTTCCGAAACGCTGCAAGCCTGCTAAGAGTATGAATCGGTCCATAGTATCAAATCTACTGCTCTGAAAAACGAGGTCCGGCTCATGCCATGCCTGTCCATCTCTGTGTTTCTGTCTGTGACCGACTGTGTGTATCCGTCCCCCACACAGGTGGACGAGGAGTATGCAGGGGCAGTCATCGACGCCATCTCTCTTAGAAGAGGGGAGCTCCTCGACATGATCACAGAATCCTCCTTCTCCTCCTCCTCCTCCTCACTATGTCCGCCTCTTCTTTGTCTGTGACCAATTGCGTGTGCTTGTGTGTCCCTACCCTATGCCCCTACCCCACACAGGTGGACGAGGAGTATGCAGGGGCAGTCATCGATGCCATCTCTCTCAGAAAAGGGGAGCTCCTCGACATGATCACAGAATCCTCCTCTTCCGAGTCTAGCTCGTCTGTTGCTGACTCAGTGACGCCTTCCACGTCATCACCTTCACCATCCACGTCATCGCCCTCCTCCGCCAGCTCAGCATCCTCCTCTCTCTCGCGTTCACGTCTTCTCTTCACCTGCCCTTCCAGGTGAGGCAAAAAAGTTTACCTCTGATCAGGTTTACCTGTCGATGATTGTTCCTGCTGAACCATTAACTTTTCAACCCTAAACTCCTTGGTTGAAAACCCTTCAACCTTAAGTCCTTGCTGTGATGTGAACTCCTTTCACCCGTGCACCCATGTGTGCAGGGGCCCTATGGGAGTGCAAGGGGTGGTTAACACGGCCACCAGAGGCACAACCCCTGGCCTCAAAACCTTAAGCCCTGTACCCAGCGATTCATACATCTATGATTCCACACATCCTTGTGTGCAGAGGCCTTTTGGGAGTGAGAGGGGTGCTCAGCACAGCCACCAAAGGCACAATCCCAGGCCATAGACCATAAGCCCTAAGCCCTTAAACCTTTACTTCATCCACCCCACCCATGCATGTGTGCAGGGGCCTGCTGGGAGTGCGGGGGGTGCTCAACACGGCCACTAGAGGCACAGCAGTGCTGCACCGGTCCTTCCTGCGTGAGTGTTACAACTGCCAACACGGCCACCCCTAGCCACACCTCTCCACCGCTCAGCACATTTTGAATAGACAGCCTGGGCAGTACAACACAAATACAGTTCAGGTACTTTCAGCCAACTCCTCACGACTTTTGAGGCGCCTGAATAGTTTAGCCAACTCCTCACGACTTTTGAGGCGCCTCAATAGTTCAGCCAACTCATCACAAACACCATCCCATCCCCCTTACCCCCCCTTTCCCGGCCAGGTTATGAGCCTTGGAGGGGGCAGCTGGAGCGAGGGCGCAAAGGGGTGATTGTATCGATGGCAACAGGTACAGTCACACGTTCATGTTCTCCTTGGTCAAATCGAGAGTGCAAAGGGGTGATTGTATCGATGGCAACAGGTACAGTCACACGTTCAATGTGAAAGCTGGCACGGTCGGTAGTATTGGCAAATATTCACTCACAGTAACAGCAACTTCTGTCACTGTCACAGTTGCTTTTGTGAGTGTCACGTTCTAAGGTGCTGCTTTCGCGACATGGAATCGCTTTCTCACATTCACCATATTTCGGGCCTCTTTTCTCTTGTTTTAGTTGTTTCATCTTCTCCCAATCCCAAACCACAGGTACCATCACAGCCCACGCCCTCTCCTCTCTTGAAGCTCGGGGCACGCTCTTTGTCAGCCCTGGAGACGAGGTATGGTGGGATGGTGTGCAGTGCGATGCTGTGCGGTACATAGAGTGAGTGCTCGTTTCTTGTCTCGCTTGTTCTTTCTCAGCCGTGTAGACGACTTACCGCGTGCTCTTCTAATATATCGCCCATTTGAGATGCCGCAAAAGTTGGACAGGATCCAGGGGAGAGTAATGCACAGCACATTTCCTTCTCCCCTGTCCGCTGTGCCCTGTCTACTGTCTCTTCTCCCTCATCTTCCTTCTCTTATTCCTCCTTTCCCGCCTCCATTCCCCTTCTCCCTCCCGGCCCACTCCTTCAGACGTATGATGGCCATGAGAGCATTAGTGACGAGAAGGGGGAGGAGGGGCCAAACGGCAAATGATACCCCTCCCTTTTCTTTACTCCCTCCTTATCCACCCTCCCCGCTCCTTCTTTCAGACATATGACGGCCATATCATAGGAGAGAACGCCAGGGACGATGATATGGAGGTGAGGCAGAAATGGGGTGTGAAGGGTGTGAAGGGTGCAAGGAGATAAAGGGTGAAAGTGGGTGAGCTGGATGAGGAAACAGGTGAGGGATCAACCCAGGCCGTGATGAGTTGATAGGTCTCATTTCACCTCACTGGAGAAGTGTGGTATTAGGCGCTGTAACACAGGGAGTTTTGAGAAATCTCAAAGGTCGCATTTCATGGCTATCAGGTGCTGTAACACAGGGTTTAGGGCTGTGAGGCGCCATAACACCGGACATGCACTCAGAGGGGATTGAGTGCATCAGTTTTTTTGAGAATTCTCAAAAAAACACTTCAGCATCGTGAGGCGCCATAACACCGGACATGCACTCAGAGGGGATTGAGTGCATCGGTTTACGTTGTCATCCCCTCTGTTGATTCCCCCTTCCAAAGGTGAACCCTGTACGCACTAAGGAGCTCACCAATATAAGAGCAGCGTCCAAGGATGAGAACATTCGCCTCACACCTCCCAGACAGGTGAGCACAGCTGTTATAGTTGTTTCATATGTGTTATAGCTGTCACAGTTCTGTAGTCATTTTGAATGGTTCTTACAGCTGTTTCTATTGTTACTTTGGAGTTTTTTTTTTTTTTTTTTTTTTTTTTTCCCCAGTTGTTCTACTTGTTACAGGTGTTGTTGAGGTCGTTTTGGCTTGTTTTTGTAGTTACACATGTTGTAGTTGTTACATCTGTTAGAAACGGCTCCACCTGTTACATGTGTCGCACCACTGCACACCCCTCTACCCCTCTGCAAACCACAGATGAACCTGGAGGATGCGATAGGGTATGTGTACAGGGGTGAGCTGGTGGAGGTGACTCCTGCTGCCATCCATAATCGTCTCATGATATACAGTGCTGCACATCTGTATCCACCCCTGGACCCTCCACGCACCACTTTGCACCCCTGTGCAAACCACAGTTGAGTCTCGAAGAAGCGATGGGGTATGTGCCATCGGGTGAGTTGATGGAGGTGACTCTTGCTGCCATTCACACACTTCCATATCCCTTTGTACCGCTTTACTCACCACAGATGAGTCTGGAGGAGGCCATGGGGTATGTGCAAACAGGCGAGCTGGTGGAGGTGACTCCTGCTGCCATCCGCCTTCGAAAGAAAGAGCTGAGCTCGTCCAAGCGAAAGACCTCCAGGCGTAACCAGAAGGAGTGATGTGATGTTTACGATGTGCGATGTGGGATGTGGGTGTACTGTCAAACTATATGTGCTGCATATTGTCTAGGCTGTAGTGGGGTAGCCCATATGGGGTACAACCCAATTAGGGTTTACTACTTGTACTCCTGCATCCTGTTAGTTCAGTCATTTCCTGCTGCTAGATTCTGACATGGTTTCAGAGCACTAAGGTCCGTAGGACCGTTTTTTTTTTTTCGGGCCCACCTACCGCTGCGGTTACCGCGCTACCCCACGTACCTGCCTGCCTTGCCTTGCCTTGTGACGTGCTGCACAAGCGCTGCCTCCTGCTGCCCTAGGCCAGCGCGCTGCCCCTAGAGGCCCGTAAAGCCCGCGCGCCGCCTCTACACGCCTGTCAGGCCCGCAAACACGCTGCTACCGCGCGCTGCCCGCACCGAAACCGCGCAGCCCGCACCGAGTCGCGCGCAGCCCGCTGCAGCCACGCGCAGCCCGCACCGAGCCGCGCGCAGCCCGCTGCAGCCGCGCGCAGCCTGCACCGAGCCGCGCACAGCCCGCTGCAGCCGCGCGCAGCCCGCACCGAGCCGCGCGCAGCTCGCAGCTGCCGCGCGCAGCCCGCGCCGAGCCCACGCAGCCCGCGTCGAGCCGCGCGCGGCCTGCTACGGCCTCGCGAGGCTCGCACGCGGCCCGCAGCAGCCCGCGCCGAGCCGCGCGCGGCCTGCTACTGCCTCGCACGGCCCGCGCGCGGCCCGCAACAGCCCGCGCCGAGCCGCGCGCGGCCCGCTACTACCTAGCGCGGCCGCGCGCGGCCTGCAGCAGCTCCGCGCGCTGTCCGCGCAGCCCGCGCCGAGCCGCGCGCGGCCCTCTGCCTCGGCCCCGACCTGCCGCTGATGTGGCCCCGCCCCGCAGCTGCCACGGCCCCGACCTGCCGCTGATGCGGCCCCGCCCTGCAGCTGCCACGGCCCCGACCTGCCGCTGACGCGGCCCCACCCTGCTCCTGCCGCTGAAGCGGCCCCGCCCTGCAGCTGCTTCGGCCCTGCTCTTCAGCCGGTGTTGCGGCCCCGACGTCGCCGCTGTCGAGCGCCAGCCATGCTCGCCCGGTGAGCGCCTGCTCTCCCAGCCTTTGGTGAGCGGCTGCCTGCCTGCCTGACGGCCTGACGGCCTGCCTGCCTGCCTGCCTTCCTGCCTGGCTGCCTGCCTGCCTGCCTGCCTGCCTGCGCGCCTGCCTGCCTGCCTGCCGGCCTGCCTGCCTGCCTGCCGGCCTGCCTGTCTGTCTGCCTGCCTGCCTGCCTGCCTGCCTGTCTGCTTGCCTGCCTGCCTGCCTGCCTGCCTGGCTGCCTGCCTGCCTACCGGCCTGCCTGCCTGCCTGCGTTCCTGCCTGCCTGCCTGCTTGCCTGCCTGCCTGCCACACCTGCCCTGCCCGCGCTAATGATACTGGCAGGTGGTCAGATGCAGCTCCAGCGACGTTCACGCGAGCCTCTCACGCCCCAGCAGCTTAGTGAGTGGTACACTAGCTGGGGTTGTCGCGGTAGCCGTCGTAGCTGTCGCCCTGGGGCTGGTCAGTTGGGAGCGTCTAGCAGTGGCCAGCTGCAGCTGCAGGGGCGTCCACGCGAGACACTTACGCCTCGGCAGCTCCAGGAGTGGTACGCTCAGTGTAGCAGGTCTACACGTACAGTTCGCTGCCCGTACGTCATTCGCACAGGTGCTAGGACTGGTCAGCCTTGTGGGACACTTGGTCACAGACAGTCCCGCTGCTTCGCCCGTCTGAGCGACGACTGGCGCACAGTGTTTGGCGACGAGGCTGAGCTCCCCACCTGGCTAGAGCTGCATGGACAGGGGGTAGATATCTTTGCGCGTGACTATGATGCTATTCTCACTGCCATGTATGCATTGTCTACTAGTGCTGACCGTGCCTGTTGCCTGTGCGTACCGCCTGACCCTGGTGAGGCTGCTGCCCTAGGTGCTAGTGCGTCTCCTGCTCTAGGTGCTGGTGAGGCTGCTGCTCTCGGTGCTAGTACGTCTACTGCTCTAGGTACTGGTGAGGCCGTGGCTTCAGGTGCTGCTGTGTCTGCTCTCTCTGGTACTGCGCCCACTGCGGTCTCGCACACCTTCACCCTTGACTCAGGAGCTTCCCGCTCCTTCTTTCGCGACTGCACCGCACTCACGCCGCTCCGTCGGCCAGTCCCGGTCTCCCTGGCGGACCCCTCTGGGGGTCCAGTCCTTGCCCACTATTCCACGGTTCTGTCGTGTCCGGCCGTCCCGTCCGGCTCGCTGTCAGGTCTTTACCTCCCCTCGTTCTCTACGAACTTGGTGAGTGGAGCTGACCTCCAGGATGGGGGGGTTCACCAGTTCACTCCTGCGAGTCAGCGAGTGACTCACTGTACGTGTGCTAGGACGGGCCGGCACTTGGCCACGTTCACCCGTGCACCTGGCTCGAGTCTGTACACACTGACCACTGAGTCCCCTCAGGTAGCTGCGTCTGCGTCTGGTCAGCTGGCGGCCCCCTGCGAGTGTCGCGCTTTGTCACACGACACTCTCCTGTGGCACCACCGCCTTGGTCACCCCTCCTTGCCTCGCCTGCGTAGCATGCACTCTCGCTCCCTGGTCTCTGGTCTCCCCAGGTCTCTGCCTGCCCTCCCTCCCTCGCCTGCGCCGCCCTGCATTCCTTGCGTCGAGGGGCGGCAACGCGCTGCTCCTCACTCCTCCTCGTTTCCTCCCACAGAGGCTCCACTGCAGACGCTCCACCTGGACGTGTGGGGCCCAGCCCGCGTCCAGGGACAGGGCCACGAGCGGTACTTCCTGCTGGTTGTCGACGACTACACGCGTTACACCACGGTCTTCCCCTTGCGGACCAAGGCGGATGTCCCTGCTGTTTTGATCCCCTGGATCCGCGCTGTTCGTCTCCAGCTCCGCGAGCGGTTCCGGTCGGACTTTCCTGTCCTGCGTCTGCACTCTGACAGAGGTGGTGAGTTCTCCTCCGACCTCTTGGCCGCCTACTGTGCGGAGCACGGCATCACCCAGTCGTTCACGCTTCCGGCCTCTCCGCAGCAGAATGGGGTTGCTGAGCGCCGCATTGGCTTAGTCATGGAGGTCGCTCGTACCTCCATGATCCATGCGGCTGCCCCCCATTTTCTGTGGCCGTTTGCGGTCCGGTACGCCGCGCATCAGCTCAACCTTTGGCCCCGTGTCTCCTTGCCGGAGACCTCGCCCACACTGCTGTGGACGGGGAAGGTTGGCGATGCGTCGCGTTTCCGGGTCTGGGGTGCTCGTGCCTTTGTCCGCGATACCACCGCAGACAAGCTCTCCGCACGCGCTGTTCCCTGTGTCTTCCTTGGCTTTGTCCTCCTGACGCGCCTGGTTGGCAGTTTTACCACCCCGCCTCGCGCCGTGTCTTTGCGTCTCAGGACGTCACGTTCGACGAGTCGGTTCCCTTTTACCGTCTCTTCCCCTACCGCACTGCCCCGCTCCCCCCCCCCCGCTGCTCTTCCTCGCTCCAGGTGCTCCCCATGTAGACCCCCTCCCCACTCCTGGTCCTGCTCCTTCAGGTGTTTCTCAGGTAGACCCTCCTCCCTTGACTGCGCCGGTTGAGGTCACTGGTGACTCAGGTCCTACTGAGGGTGGTCCTTCTCGGGGTGCTACTTCTAGGGGTGCTGAGCCTGGGGGTGCGGAGCCTGGGGGTGCTGAGCCTGGGGGTGCTGAGCCTGAGGGTGCGGAGCTTGAGGGTGTGGAGCCTGGTGGTGCTGAGCCTGAGTGTGAGGGGTCTGGGGGTGCTGAGCTTGGCGGTACTGACGCTGGAGGTTCTGGAGCTACTGAGGGTGCTGGCGCTGGAGGTTCGGGAGCTGCTGGAGGGCCTAGTACTGGTGGTGCTGGAGCTGGAGGTTCTGGAGCTGCTGAGGGTGCTCGCGCTGGAGGTTCTGGAGCCGCTGGAGGTACAGGTGCTGAGGGTACTGACACCGGAGGTTCTGGAGCCGTTGGGGGTGCGGGCGCTGAGGGTTCTGAGTCTGCTGTTGCGCGGTCTCCTTGGAGTAGCCGCCTTCGTCCACGTGTGCCTCTCACCCCACAGCAGCTGCAGGACTGGTACGGTCGCCGTTAGCGTCGCGCTGCTGGAGCTAGGAGTGGTGCTGGACCTTTGTCTACTGGAGGTGCTGGAGTCGCTGGTTCTGGAGGTGCTCGTACTGGAGACACTGAGGCTGGAGACCCTGGGACTGGAGGTGCTGGCTCTGGGGGTGCTGCTGCTGGAGACACTGAGGCTGGAGACCCTGGGACTGGAGGTGCTGGTTCTGGGGGTGCTGCTGCTGGAGACACAGAGGGTGGAGACCCTGGGACTGGAGGTGCTGGTTCTAGGGGTGCTGCTGCTGGAGACACAGAGGTTGGAGACCCTGGGACTGGAGGTGTCGGCTCTGGGACTGGAGCTTCTGGAGCTGCTGGAGGTACTGGAGCTGCTGGAGGTACTGGAGCTGCTGGAGGCACTGGAGCTGCTGGAGCTGCCGGTACTGGTGCAGCTGCGCCGACACGGCTGTTCTTCGCTCCGCCGTCTCCGTCGTCTCTGCCGCCGCCTGACTCTGCTCTTCGTCAGGTTGTTACTCTCCCGTCGTCTACTGGTCTTCCGTTACAGCCTGGCTCACCGCTGCCTGCTCCTTCTCCTTACACTGAGCAGACTGGTAGTCCTGCTGAGCGTCGTGAGCCTGCGTCGCGTCCTGTCTCGCCTGCTCGTCCTGGTCGTACCGGTCGTCGTGTTCCTCTTCCCTGACCTCGTCGCTTTTCCCACTATCGCTGACCTCATTACGCACCTTCGCACCAGCGCACGCCTCGTAGTCCGTCGTCCTTGCTCTGCTCTGCAGCCTGTTCCTCTGCCGTCTCCCCCTGCGTCCTCTCTGCCTGCCGTTCCGGACCCTGAGTCTGACAGGTTTCGTACTGAGCACCCTACTGTCACGCGTCTCCTAGCCACTGTTGTCACTGACCCGTCGTTTGAGTCTACTGCTGCGTCTGCCTTGGTCGCTGAGCTTGTTGACTTTGCTGCTGCCTGTCGTCTAGACTACGCCGCTAGTCTTGTTGCTGAGTCTGAGTCTGTCTGTCCTCCGTCCGTCGGGGGTGAGTGTGCTCTTAGCACGGACGTCCTTGAGGACAGGCAGGAGGAGTTCCAATGTCTTGCTGCTGCTTTACCTCATCTTGTGTCCTCGCTACTTGCCCCTGAGGGAGACCCGGATGCACCAGACATCCCGACTCCGCGCTCTTACGCAGAGGCGATAGAGGGTCCCCACTCCTCTCAGTGGCAAGCAGCCATGGACGCAGAGATGGCTTCCTGGAAGTCCACAGGCACCTACGTTGACGAGGTTCCCCCACCTGGGGCGAACATCGTCAGTGGCATGTGGATTTTCAGGGTGAAGCGGCCGCCGGGTTCTCCGCCTGTCTTCAAGGCGCGTTACGTGGCTCGAGGCTTTAGTCAGCGAGAGGGAGTTGACTTCTTCCAGACCTTCTCCCCCACCCCGAAGATGACCACTCTTCGGGTGCTGCTGCACGTTGCTGCTCAACGTGACTACGAGCTTCACTCTCTTGACTTCAGCACAGCTTTCTTGCAGGGTAGCCTGCACGAGGAGATCTGGCTGCGCCGCCCCCCGGGCTTCACTGGGTCGTTCCCTCCTGGTACCCAGTGGAGCCTCCGGCGGCCGGTCTACGGTCTCCGCCAGGCGCCACGTGAGTGGCACGACACACTGAAGACTACGCTTGCGGCTCTTGGGTTTGCGCCTTCTACTGCTGACCCGTCGCTGTTTCTGCGCACCGACACTTCCCTGCCGCCGTTCTACATCCTCGTGTACGTCGACGACTTGGTTTTTGCCACTGCTGACACTGAGGCTCTCGCCCACGTGAAGTCGGAGCTGCAGAAGAGACACACGTGCACAGACTTGGGTGAGCTGCGCAGCTACCTTGGCTTGCAGATCACCCGAGACAGAGCACGTCGCACCATCACCTTGACTCAGTCACACATGGTGCAGCAGGTCCTTCAGTGCTTCGGCTTCACCTGGTCTTCAGCACAGGCCACTCCTCTGGCTACAGGTCACACGCTCTCAGCTCCACCTTCGGACGAGTCCGTAGAGCCGAGTGGTCCTTACCCAGAGCTAGTCGGCTGCCTCATGTACCTGATGACTTGCACTCGACCTGACCTCGCGTACCCTCTTGGTCTCCTGGCTCGCTACGTGGCTCCTGGTCGGCACCGACCTGAGCACATGGCTGCTGCTAAGAGGGTACTGCGTTACTTGTGCAGCACATCAGGCATGGGGCTAGTGCTTGGAGGGACGAGCCCAGTTGTCCTCACTGGGCACTCAGACGCTTCTTGGGTTGACGACCTGGCTACTCAGCGGTCGTCACAAGGTTACACCTTCAGCCTTGGCTCTGGTTCAGTTTCGTGGCGTTCTACACGCTCGTCTTCAGTTCTCGGCTCCAGTTGTGAGGCTGAGATCTACGCCACCGCCATGGCTGCACAGGAGTTACGCTGGCTCACCTACCTGCTGACTGACTTGGGAGAGCAGCCTCGTTCTCCTCCAGTGCTGTACGTTGACAACAAGGCCGCCATTGCCTTGTGTGAGGAGCACAGACTGGAGCACAGAACGAAGCACATTGCTCTGCGGTACTTCCTGGCTCGAGAGTTGCAGCAGCGAGGCCAGCTTCGTCTTCGCCACGTGGCCACTCGGGCCAACACTGCTGATATATTCACCAAGGCACTTCCGTCTGGTGATCATCAGCGCTTTTGTACTCTGTTAGGCCTTGTGCCTACGTTTCCACACTTGCTGTAGTCTCTGCTTGTACTGTGATCTGTACATATATATATATATATATATGCATGCTGGCTCTTGCTAGGTAGCCATCACTGTACTGTTATTGCTGCATATATATCTCTGCATGTGAACTGGCCCTGTGGCCCTTTGCTTGTGCTCGGAATGCGTGGTGACGTTGTGATCCACCCTGAGCTTGTTTTGCTTCTCTTGACTGGTCGTGTGACCTCTTGTTCTCCTCCACTTTGCCTATGGGGGTGTGTCAAACTATATGTGCTGCATATTGTCTAGGCTGTAGTGGGGCAGCCCATATGGGGTACAACCCTATTAGGGTTTACTACTTGTACTCCTGCATCCTGTTAGTTCAGTCATTTCCTGCTGCTAGATTCTGACATGTACATGACATATCGTAGTAAGACGCTGTGGGTTGCCTTGTATCTGATATGCTCCGTATCCCCTGCAGTACACATACCAAGCAGATACAAGAAACATGGCTGTGAGCCAGTACATTAGGAAACTGCGCTGTGCAAGTAATTTTGACACCAGAAATCAAACATGGAAGAAACAAGCATCTTTATTATATTATAAGTAGAGAGACAATGGGTATATATGCACGACCTGCTAATCTACCATATCAAGCTGGTAGCGTACCTCCCGACCCACAGCTAAGAATTTTTTCTGTCCTCACTCACACATACCAGGCCCATCACATCATGTCATTCTGAGGCGCCTCTAAGGCCCCACATTCACCCCTCATAACACCTCTACACCCTTCCCTCTCCTCCCCGCCTTTCTGCCCTCCCTGTTCCCCTCAATCACCCAATCCGAGAATCAGTTTGTCAGCCTTTATTCCCAGTGAGACTATCAACAATGCAACTTGAGTTTTGAGGCGCCTCAAAACTCTCCCAGACACCACTAACAATGCCAAGCTGTACATAACTCATGCAAGAGCAGGCGTTGGTGCACGAAGGGTGCACTGCACTCCCGTCTAATCATAAGGATCCCTGAAACGGTTTCCAGGATTTCAGCAGGGCACAAAGGGGTCCAGTGAGGTCAAGTGCGGTTCATTTGGGTCCCTTTAGGTGGTATATGGGTACTCCCCCTGCCAGTTCCCCTGTGGATAGTAGTGACACACCCACATCCCACCCCCGTCACCGCACTGAGCCGCAGCGCACCCCACATTCGTCGTATCCTGCCACACTATCTGCGTATAATGCAGGCACTGCTGCCCCTCCGCACACCCCCCTGGAATTGGACTATAAGTCCAATAATTCTTCTCATCCACCCACCAATACACTGCTTCACGGTCATCATCCGCGTTAAAAGCAGCTGGCCTCTTCCAGTATAAGTTCTGCCCCATGTTATCGTGTCCCCCGTGCTCCATGGGGCATCCGCGCGAAGCCAGGTTGTCCGCCCATGCCTGCGCAGAGGTCGCCAGATTCGCGTCCCAGCCCAGCGCGGGGAGGCCCAGCTCCGCGCGCGCAGCGTTGTGTCCCTCCAGCATCGCCCCCGCGTCCACCGTGCCCCCGCCCCCGCCGTTCCCGCCGTCTCCGCCGCTGCTCCCGTCGCTTCCGCCGCTACTCCCATCGCTTCCGCCGTTTCCGCCGCTACTCCCATCGCTCCCGTCGCTTCCGCCGCTACTCCCTTCGCTTCCGCCGCTTCCGCCGTTCCCCCCGCTGTCGCCGCCTTCGCCAGAGCTTCCCCCGTAGTCCCAGCTACCTCCGCCGTCAGAACTACCGTCGGTACTACCGTAGTCCCAACCACCGCCGTCAGAACTACCGCCGCCGCCAGAGCTACCGTCGTCCCAGCCACCGCCGGTGTCACCACCCAAATCGGTCCACCAATCATCCGGCAGATTAGACCAGTCGGCACCGTTGTTTAACCAGGTCGACCAATCGTCGGGCAAATTAGACAAATCGCCACCGTTGTTTAACCAGGTCGACCAATCGTCGGGCAAATTAGACAAATCGCCACCGTTGTTTAACCAGGTCGACCAATCATCGGGCAGATTTGACAAATCGCCACCGTTGTTTAACCAGCTCGACCAGTCGTCGGGCAAATTAGACAAATCGCCACCGTTGTCTAACCAGGTAGACCAATCGTCCGGAAAATTAGACAAATCGCCACCATTGTTTAACCAGGTCGACCAATCGTCGGGCAAATTACTAGACCAGTCGCCAGCGTTGTTTAACCAGTCGCTCCAATAGTTCGAAAAGCCTCCACTGTCGCCAGACCAATCGCCGTAATCATACGAGGATTCTTGCAGCTGGCGAAGGTTACCACGTGTTCGCGCGCCAATAGGCTGAGGCTGCCTCTCCCGCAAGAAACGGCGAGAAGGGCGGATGACTTTCGACGTTCTTATAGCGGTGACGACGGGGCTAAGATAGAGGAGGAGGATAAATACAATGCTCGAGACAGCGGTCAGCGTCAGCTTTGAATACGCCATATTTGTATCGCTCCAAGGAAAGAACTAGTAGGCTCTTCTTTTCCTTTCGAGCTCAAGTGTAGAAATGAACAGTACAATATAGCCTATCGGAGGAAGACTCTATCCATCAACAACAGAAGTCTTTTCAGCTGCGGAAACTGACGTTGCAAGATAATACACAGATGAGCTTGATGAAGCTTACGGGATAAGCTAGTCACGCATACGGGATATGGCCGTATTTGTACGAACGAAATTGTCTAGAGCGAAAGCAGAACTGGAGCAGGAGTGGGAGCAGGAAATTGTCTAGAGCAGAAAAAGAAGCACAAATGACGGGGCTGGAGAGGAAGGGGGTGAAAGAACCAACATTCCTCGTTGGCGCAGTTTCGTAAACGAGGGAAAGATTTCGCTAGCAGTCAGCCTTCCAAGTCATGTTGACTCCACAAATTCCGCAGCTGTTCGCGAAACGCCAGCACATCGTGAAAGAGGGGCTTCAGCGAGATCCTGCCGAGTAACTTCAGACCTTGTGTACTTCGCCAACGATAAAATACGTGTTGGCCCGAGAGTTCGCGAAGTTAGTACGCGTCACCCAGCACAGCGCGGCGAATTCCTGCCGAGTAACTTCCGCCAATAATGCGTTCGCCAGCTCGACCGGGCCAGCATGGAATGGATGTGGTGGCAGCCAATTGACACATTTGAGTCAATACTTTCGCACGGACGCCATGCAAGCGAAGGGCGCTTCATTATGAAGTAAATGCTGACATATCATGGCAGCCATCCGCCATAACTATTGTGAGGTGTGCCTTGTGAGATTCATATATGTTTATATTCCTACTCCATGCATGCTTAGCTAACATTGGTTAGATTGAGCTAATGGAATGCACACAGATAAAATTCTTGCTATTAAAACTATATGTGCGAGTACAAAGAATCAAAGACTATACTTCAAAGTGAAAGTTATGGGAGTGAACTCTATTGTAGCCTCCAGCCAGGGCTGACTATTAAAAAAAAACCAGTCTGATGTTCTGGGAGGTCTGAAAATTTTTAGTCTGAGGCATATTTCCCAGAGCTTGGCTACTCTGATTTTCCAGGTTTCGCAAAACACAAGTCTGAAGTACTCAGACTTCGAAAGGAAAAATCAGTGCATGTTTCCCGCCGCTGCAGCACATCACTGCCACGAATGTACCTCGTAATATGCATCGCTAACCAATTTTGCTGCGCCAGCACAGAGTTCCCTACGCTGACACAGCATAGCTGCAACGATGGTCCCTCTCGTGTGAGTGTAACAAGGAGCCAAGTTGGCAGTCTCACAGGTAGAGGGTGGCCAGGTACAGATTTTGCGCATGACAGCGGGGTGCAGTGTTTTCGTACCCAGGTACGTAGCGGAAGGTACGTCGAAAGTAGTTACCCGCATTTCAGGTTCTGTACTCGCTGTTGTACGAAGACCTATTTTCGGCTAATTCAGTACTATGAAATTCTCAGTATCCAAAAACAAGTAACTCTGAGGTACTCATGTTTCAAAATCTTACAACTCTGAAAAATCAGGATCCACAGAAAAATACCCTGAAATTTCAGACAATCATACTATTTTAGTCTGATAAAGTCAGCCCTGCCTCCAGCGTCTGAGGAAGGACGAATATCAGAATTTGGGATCAAGCTTATTGGGTGGTGCTGGCTGCATCTCTATTTGGGCTGCATCTCTTATGGGGGAGATGTATGTTGAATGTATCTTGACATGTATCTTGACTTCTTATTGCATTTTATATATCGAAGATATTTATAGGCAGAGCTCCGCACTGCGTGAATATGGGGTCGAATCGAATTCCACACAACAGATTTGACGGATTCGTCGCAGACAGCGAGTGGGCAAATCTTTCGTGCTGCAAGCACTGTTTTTGTTTCGCGAAACCAAGTTACTTCGTCACCTCTGAGTCCTGACGAATCATAAGTGGTCGCGCGACACCCCCCATTGCCAACGGTTGCCCCTTCAGTTCCACCCAGAGAAGCCCTCTCCAACCACCTGGTTAGGGTGTCCTCACCTGACCCAACCCAACTGAGACCAAACTAACCACAGCAACTCGACCCCCCCCACTTCTACTCACTCGCCGTCCCTTACCACTAGTCAGGGGACCCCTGTGTTGGTGCTTCTGGCTAGTGGTGCCTGCGCTGTCCAAAGCGTGAATCCCCACCAATGCAAAGGCAAGCCCGTATGTTGCTCGCGGTGCCGTCGCGTCCATCTCATTCGTCCATACTGCTTCTGTAGCAGCAGTCGTTCATTTCATTATCACTCTGACGTCGCTAACGTTTAGCTTACGAGCATCGCACTCCTATTCGAACCCGCAATGACTGGCTCAGTGCAAACGGCAATCGGCGTGAATATCGCATGGCACGTGTGTGTTTTCCGACGTGGAAACTGCCACGTAGGACACTTACTGGGGGATGTCAAGCACTCACCTCCAGAACAGCTTATCGCATCTTATCCTCCGTATCGCCTCCATTCGTTCCCTGCTTACTTCCTCGCTGGAAACGCGTTTCAGGTTTCACTCTGAACTTGATAGGTTTTGGTTCTTTACGGGAATAATTTCCGGAAGCTAGAAAATCGCTTGAGTCGCGCATGGCGGACGTAGATTATTACACTCGAGGCGCGCCGCGTTCCATGACCGTTCATCACGACACGTTGCCTGCTCACGTTAGGACGGCAGCGTGCCTCCTCCTGTTGCTCCTCTACTGCTCACCGACGACGGCTGTCGCGCCCTTATCAAGGCAGCTTGTATCGAAGCTGCCCGCTGCTCGCCGCGGACGAGGGATCTCCACGCGGACAGCTCCGCCTCGCACGGCGCAATATCTCGCTGCGCGGCGGGAGGAGAGAAGATTATTCTATGATCCCTGCGGGACATATCCTGCGTCGGAAGCGCGCGCAGCGGTGGGCGGAACCAGCAGTGCCTCGTCGCCGGCTTCGGCGGCTGACACGGCGGCTCTCAAGGCGGTCTACGCGGCCGCGCTGATACCTATCCCGACGGACCAGGACGCGTGCACGTGGTACGGCGTGTCTTGCTGCACCGGCAACACTGTTACCATTCTAGACCTTTCGTACAACTACAACAACAGCAACCCTGTCGAACACCCACCCACGCCTCGCCTTTGCAACCGTACTGCGCGCGAACCTGGCAAAAAGTTCCCCGCAACCCTCTCCGATTCTATAGGCCAGTTAACGGGTCTCACCGATCTCCGTCTGAAGGGCCTCTGGCTTGCTGGCTCGGTCCCGATATCGTTGTACCGGCTTACAAAAATGCAGAATCTCGACCTTAGCCATAACTGCTTCGCTGGCCCTCTTCCTGCCGCCATTTTTCGCATGCCGGCGCTTATCAGTGTGATAGCCGGCCAGAATTTCTTCTCCGGCGGGTTACCACAAAATCCTGCTGCGTACGCGGCGGCTGAGTTATCGACAATGGATTTCGGCAGTAATAGGCTATCCGGGCGGATCCCCGCTGCCCTCGCAACGCTGCCGAGCCGTGATATGGCGCTTTATTTGTACTCGAATCGGCTAACCGGGAGTATTCCCCCTGCTCTGCTGCAGAGAGTGTTTGCACTTTATCTAAGTCAGAACCGGCTTTCCGGCGACCTGAGCGGGCAAAAAATAATGTCTTATGCTTTTAGCGCAAGCGGGAACAGGCTGACCGGAAACTTCAACTCGATCGGGTTCGGCCAATCCGTGACGGGCATAGACGTTTCGGACAATTTGTTTTCGGGCTCGTTCCCTAAAATCGTGTGCCATCGGAGCAACCTAGCATTCAATTTTTCGCACAATCGCCTGACAGGAGCCGTTCCAGCAGATTGTTTCAACTCCGCAAGTTCCTTTCCGAAGGGCCTCTTTCTAAGCCACAACAATTTCTCGGGCAGCTTGCAGCCGTTTTCGAACCTGCCCACGGACATCACTGCTCTGGACCTTGGACCGAACAGGTTTACAGGGAGAATTCCCCAACGCCTCGCCAGTCTACTCCAGCTTACATACTTGAACCTCGGGGCAAACGCTCTGACAGGTAAGCTGACTAGAAAAATGCAGATCTGGCAAACTGTGTGTTTTGTTTATCGATATAATCAGCTGCTAGTTCCGACGTGTAAAAACCCATTGTCCCACCCACTCCATCCTTCTGCTGGGATCGATCACTCAGAACCGCTTGTTTGTTTGAGCTTTCTGTTCACTCCTCTTACCCACGCTTCTCCTGCTTCCACTGCTCCATCCCTCAGACCTCATCAATCAACTTCCTCCTTAATCCCCTTCCTCCCCCCCTCAGGCCCCATCACTTAATTTTGTCCTTCATCCCATCCCCCACCCTCTGCTCTCTATCCCTGTGCTTGCTCCTACCTCCCATCCCCCACCCCCCAGGCCCCATCCCTGCCTTCTGCCAGGGCGGGCAGGCCCTCAACTTCCTCAATCTCGCCTCCAACGCCCTTTCCGGCCCGCCCACCCCGCTCTCCTCCCCCTCCTGCGCCGCCTTCCTCAATTTTCTCAACCTTGCCTCCAACCGCCTCTCCGGCTCCATCCCCGCTACAGTCAGCTCCTTTACAAACCTCAAGCGCCTGCACCTCTACAATAACGCTCTCACAAGAGCAATCCCTGCTGGTGTGAGCAAGATGAAATGGCTGCGGGGACTCTGGTTGTCATATAACAACCTAACAGGTTCCATTCCCGCGGTTTGGCCGGCAAGGATACGGCAAGTGCTGCTGGTGGGGAATCAGCTGTCAGGGGCTGTTCCGGCTGCTCTGAGCAAGCTGAAAAAACACACCTTCAAACCAGGGAATGATAATTTGTGTGGGACACCGCTGCCTGCCTGTGCTTAGAACGATCCTTGTTTGTGCATATAATCAGGCCCTCAGATTGGTTTGAGAGTATGCTGATGGATCAGCGTGCCCCGGCCAACGAGGTGTCCAAATCAGCGTTCACGGATTTTTTTTTACTGATTTTGCCAGTGTGAAAATCATAAGTAAACTGAACCAACAGTGTAAAAAAAAAACTAACAGCTGAAACACTAGTGCAAGGTGTGTGCTGTTGTTACTGTGATACCGTAGGTTCCAGCGAGGCGAAAGATATCAGGTCCACACACTTCGGAGCGCACCTGATACAGTATCTGCGCAGCACATGCGAAGTGTGTGGGTTTCGTGACACGGAAAGGTATAGTCTGTACATGCGTAACTTACGCCCCCCCCCGCGCGGTCAAGTCCGTTTCAGGGTGACGCACTGAAGTATGCTGATTCGTCAGTGTTACTTGTTCAGAAACACACATAATCGTCAGTGTGGCAAAATCACATATACTGAAATTTCAGCCCATAATGGAAGCATTTACTGATTTTTCAGGGAAAACGAAATTCAGAGCTACAAAATCAGCGTAATCAGCGTGTTTTACTCTGATATCTGAGGCCCTGCATATAATCGTCCCTACGTACATGTTTATCTATTTTTCATTACATATCACCCTTGTTTGAATGGTGGTCATGCTCTTGAGCAAGATGCAGAGGGGAACCGTCAAGGTACCACAGAAAGAGATCCCCCTTTCCCTCCTCCCACCACCTACCTGCCTTCCTGGTCCAGATGCATTTTCTACTGTATCAAGCTAGACCTGTGAATGCTACAGTAGTTTCACGAGAGAAACATGGCCAATAATGCACCCTAGGGACAATGTGCTGTGCCCTAGTAGACGAAGCACACTTGCACTTGACTCGGGCTAACTTTCTTGACCGCATCACTCGCCCACCATCTCAATGCTGTTTGAGTGAACCAGGCCCTCAGATTGGTTTGAGAGTATGCTGATGGATCAGCGTGCCCCGGCCAACGAGGTGTCCAAATCAGCGTTCACGGATTTTTTTTTACTGATTTTGCCAGTGTGAAAATCATAAGTAAACTGAACCAACAGTGTAAAAAAAAAAACTAACAGCTGAAACACTAGTGCAAGGTGTGTGCTGTTGTTACTGTGATACCGTAGGTTCCAGCGAGGCGAAAGATATCAGGTCCACACACTTCGGAGCGCACCTGATACAGTATCTTCGCAGCACATGCGAAGTGTGTGGGTTTCGTGACACGGAAAGGTATAGTCTGTACATGCGTAACTTACCCGCCCCCCGCGCGGTCAAGTCCGTTTCAGGGTGACGCACTGAAGTATGCTGATTCGTCAGTGTTACTTGTTCAGAAACACACATAATCGTCAGTGTGGCAAAATCACATATACTGAAATTTCAGCCCATAATGGAAGCATTTACTGATTTTTCAGGGAAAACGAAATTCAGAGCTACAAAATCAGCGTAATCAGCGTGTTTTACGCTGATATCTGAGGCCCTGGAGTGAACAATCCTGAGCGGCATTTCAACCGACACCGGTCTCTCCTCGGAAACCAACTCCAGGCTGTAGAACCCACTGCCCCAGTAGATGAAGCAGGCCCCCACTTGACCCACATTTAATTTCTTGACTACGGTAAGATGGCGAATCCTGTCACTCGGCCACTGTCTCAATGCTGTATGAATGATCAATCCTGTGTCAAATTATATGTTTAATATCATGTAGGCTGTAGTGGGTTTAGCCTTAGGGGGTACAGAAACTTGCTCGACACTTGTTTGTACCACCCTCCAAACCCTAATCCATCATACCTTCACACTATTCTGAAATGGTATTAAGAGCTTAGGTTCTAGACCTAGGACCACTTACCTAAGGGCCCACCATTCCGCTAGAGGCGCCCTCGTGCGCCTCTCTCTCTCTCTCACGCTGCCCGTGCGCAGCTCACTAGCCGCCCGCGCGTGGCCCCTTTTCTTTTTTTTTCTAGCGCGAGCAGCCCGCCAGCAGCCCGCACGCGGCCCGAATCGCGCGCGCGACGACCGTAGGCCGCCCGCGCGACTAGCCCCGCCCACGAGCAGCCTGCTAGCCGCCCGTCGACCGGCCCGGCTGGCCTTCCAGCGCGACGCAGCCCCGCCCGTAGGCCGCCGCCCGCGCGCGACTGCAGCCCACGCTCGACCGCTCGCCCCTGGGACGGCGCTCGACCCACCGCCGCCCGCCCGCAGGTCGCAGCCCGCGCGCAGTGACGATCGCGTGTAGGCTGCTGCAGCTTGTACTTAGCTGCAGCTCGCGCTTGGCTGCAGCTCGCGCTTCGCTGCAGCACGAACCCAGCTGCGGCCTGCGCGCAGCTGCACCCTACGGGCCGCCGCGCACCGTGCATAGGCCTGCCGTTGCGCCGCCCTACCTGCCCGAGCCACGCCGCCCTGACCGAACCGCGCTGCTCCACCTACTGCTTCTACTTGCTGCAGCTGCTGCTACTTGCTGCCACTGCTGCTACTTGCTGCAGCTGCTTCTACTTGCTGCCACTGCTGCTACTTGCTGCAGCTGCTTCTACTTGCTGCCACTGCTGCTACTTGCTGCAACTGCTTCTACTTGCTGCCACTGCTGCTACTTGCTGCAGCTGCTTCTACTTGCTGCCACTGCTGCTACTTGCTGCAGCTGCTTCTACTTGCTGCCACTGCTGCTACTTGCTGCAGCTGCTTCTACTTGCTGCCACTGCTGCTACTTGCTGCAGCTGCTTCTACTTGCTGCCACTGCTGCTACTTGCTGCAGCTGCTTCTACTTGCTGCCACTGCTGCTACTTGCTGCAGCTGCTTCTACTTGCTGCCACTGCTGCTACTTGCTGCAACTGCTTCTACTTGCTGCCACTGCTGCTACTTGCTGCAGCTGCTTCTACTTGCTGCCACTGTTGCTACTTGCTGCAGCTGCTGCTACTTGCTTGTTGTAGGAGCAGCCGCCCCTGGAGCAGCTGCCTCTGGCCCCTGGAGCAGCCGCCCCTGGCCCCTGGAGCAGCCGCCCCTGCAGCAGCCGCCCCTGGCCCTTGGAACAGCTGCCTCTGCAGCAGCCGCCCCTGGCCCCTGGAGCAGCTGCCTCTGCAGCAGCCGCCCCTGGCCCCTGGAGCAGCTGCCCCTGGCCCCTGGTGCAGCCGCCCCTGCAGCAGCCGCCCCTGGCCCCTGGAGCAGCCGCCCCTGCAGCAGCCGCCCCTGGCCCCTGGAGCAGCCGCCCCTGGCCCCTGGAGCAGCCGTCCCTGCAGCAGCAGCCCCTGGTTTTTGGAGCAGCCGCCCCTGGAGCAGCTGCCCCCCCCCCCCCTGCAGCTGCCGCGGAGCCCTCGCCCTGCAGTGCTGCCGGCGTTGCCGTTGCCGCCGTCGTACGCCTGCCCTTCTTGCCACTGGTGAGCACTATCCTGCCTGTACTGCTGTTACCGCTGCTCCCGCTGCTCCTGCTGCTCCGCTCTTTCTACTACTACTGCTGCTAGTACTGCTACTGCTGCTCCTACTGCTACTGCTGCTCGTGTTGCTCCTACTGCTCCTGCGCCTTCTACTGCTACTGCTGCTCCTGGCGTGGCCAGATGCAGCTCCAGCGCCGTCCGCGTGAGTCCCTCACGCCCCCACAGCTTCATGAGTGGTACGCTCGTTGGGGTTGTCGGGGTAGCCGTAGTGGGAGTCGTTCTGGTGTGAGTAGTGTCGGGGCTTCTTGTAGTGGCCAGGTGCAGCTGCAGCGTCGTGTGCATGCGGTCCCTTCGTCCTCGCAGCTTCATGAGTGGTACTTTCAGCGGGGGGGGTCACGGGGTTCTGCTCGCTGCCCGTACGTCATTCGCACTGGTGCTCGGACTGGCCAGCCTTGCGGGACGTTTGGTCACACAGAGTCCCGCTGCTTCGCCAGTCTGAGCGACGCCTGGCGTACAGAGTTTGGCGACGCGGCTGAGCTCCCCGACTGGGTGGAGCTGCTCCGGCAGAGGGTAGATATCTATGCTCTTGACTATGATGCTATCCTTACTGCCATGTATGCATTGTCTACTAGTGATGCCGGTGACTGTTCCCTGAGTGTTCCGCCCGACCCGGGCGGTGCAGCTGCTGCTCTAGGTGCTAGTGAGTCTGCTGCTCCAGGTGCTGGTGAGTCTGCTCTCTCAGGTACCACGTCTGCTCCGGCATCGCACACTTTCACCCTTGACTCGGGTGCTTCCCGCTCCTTCTTTCGAGACCGCACCACTCTCACGCCGCTCAGTCGGCCGGTTGCAGTCTCCCTGGCAGACCCCTCTGGGGGTCCTGTTCTTGCCCACTACTCCACTGTACTACCGTGTCCAGCGGTCCCGTCTGGCTCCCTGTCGGGTCTTTACCTCCCCTCGTTCTCTACGAACTTGGTGGCGGGTGCTGACCTACAGGATGGGGGGGTTCACCAGTTCACCCATGCGCGTCAGCGGGTGACCCACTGCACGTGTGCGGACACGGGCCGACACTTGGCCACGTTTACCTGTCGGCCGGGGTCGAGCCTGTACACCTTGACTACCGAGTCTCCTCCGGTTGCTGGTGCCTGGTCAGGTAGCTGCGTCGGGTCAGGTGTTTGCTGCAGCGTCTCGGTCTGGTCCTGAGTCTGCCCCCTGCTCGTGTCGCCTCCTGTCCCACGAGACTCTTCTCTGGCACCACCGTCTTGGTCACCCCTCCCTGCCTCGTCTCCGAGGCATGGCCTCTCGTGTCCTGGTTTCTGGTCTCCCCCGGTCTCTCCCTCCCCTCCCTCCGGGGCCTGCACCTACCTGCGTCCCCTGCGTCGAGGGGCGGCAGCGCACCGCTCCTCACTCCTCCGAGTTTCCGCCGACAGAGGCTCCGCTGCAGACTCTTCACATGGACGTGTGGGGCCCAGCCCGCGTCCGTGGACAGGGTCACGAGCGCTACTTCCTGCTGGTGGTTGACGACTACTCGCGTTACACCACAGTCTTCCCCTTGCGCCGCAAGGATGAGGTCACTGAGGTGTTGATCGACTGGATCCGCGCGGCTCGTCTCCAGCTCAGGAAGAGTTTCGGCTC